ACCACTAGATTTAGGTTGGGAAACTGACGAAACATTGTCATCATAATGTTCCCATTACATGGTTTTCTCAGAAAGACGCTCTAAAAACTCTCAAGCTTCATCAACGTTTTTCCTCATGAAATCCTCGTGGCACATTGACTCTAAGGAAGTTTTTGCAGAATAATCTAATCCTTCATAAATTATTTGGCATAATCGCCATTTTTCTAACCCGTGATGAGGACATTGGATGAGAAGATCTTTAAATCAGTCAAAATACTTCCAAAAAGGTTCTCCCGGGATAATTTTAAGATTCATGATGCTATTTCTTAGCTTCACCGTTTTATGGATCGGGAAAATTTTCTTAAGAAAAACGGTGATAAATTCCTCCTAAGTTGTGATGGAATTTATAGGTAAGATGTATAGCCATTTTTTTGCTTTGTTTTTGAGGGCAAAAGGAATAAATCTGAGTTTGACTGCATCTTCAGTTAATTCTCCCATTTTAATCATCATACATACTTCCTCAAATTCTGAGATAAAAATATATGCATCTTCAGTTTCATTCCCTAGAAATTTTGGAAGAATGTTGATATAGTGCGGTCGAAGCTCAAAGTTAGTTCCATTTGCTTCGGGGAGCCTAATGCAGGATGGGATTGCATTCCTAATGGGATAACACATATCTTGAAGAACGGGTGGATTAGGATACGCCATTCTATGATTGGTTCAAAGCGAATTAATCGATGTGTATTATCCTTAATCCACGTTTGTATTCACCCAAAACAATTTTTTTTAAGGAGAAAAAAAAATTTTATGAGAAGAAAAAGGAAAATCCTAACTAAAACAAATCAAAAGCAATCACTTTTTTTAATCACTCTAACTCTAGGGTTTAGCCTAACTCAACTAGACTAGCTCCTAACCAAAAACTCCTAAAGTAAAAAGATTAAAGTTTTACCCGGGTAGTCAGCCAGGTAAGGATAGTACTAGAGGGTGATCAGAGATCAATTAAGTACCTCGTTTCTTGAGGAGCACTTTACGTAACTCCTAAACCTTACCTTAGACACCAACTAATCCATAAAAACTTAAACCGGTTCACTTAAGGATTCTTTATTCCTTATTGAGCTCGAATCCTTAAGGCCAACGTCTAATGAGTTTTATTAGGCTTGGGTGGTGTAGTGAAACGTCTAATGAGTTTTATTAGGCTTGGGTGGTGTAGTGAGGAATTAGTGATTTTTGGGCTAAGGAAAGGATGATGAAATCGTGGTGTAGTGAGGAATTAGTGATTTTTGGGCTAAGGAAAGGATGATGAAATCCCTTACCTTATCTTGATCATGAGGTTTTGTCCTTAAAAATATTTTTTAAGTGTATGCCAAATCAAGATGCTCAAATCACTTTGGTGAATTCCTACTAACTATATGCAATGCAACCCAATGAATTAAAAGCAACTAAAAATAATGGTAAAAATAAAAATCTTTTTTTAATTAGGGTTACCAATCAAACAAATGAGAAGGGAGAAATTTGTCTGAATTTATTATCTTATTAGTAAATATCAAAGTGGAGGGTGGGTTTTATTATGATCGACAAAAATAAAATCTTTTTTTATAAGTCCTAATTGTCTCTAATTGTGAAGAAGTAGCTAAATGGTGGAATTAAAAATTCTAGAAAGAAGAGTTACCTAAAAGCAAATCTTCAAATTCTAGACCTCCAATCCGTGATCTTCAAGCTCCAAGCGGTTCCTTCACAAAAAACACACAAGTTAAAGAACCAAATTAAATAAAATCCTACTTAAGCACCCTCCCCGGCAACGGCGCCAAAAACTTGATACGGCATAAACATATACCAAAAAGTTACAAGTGCACAACTAATCAAGTTATAGTATAAAAAGTTATTGATCCTACAAGGAAGGTGTTTTGTAGGAGGTGTTTTGTAGGAGAAAATTAATGTCGGTTTTTATGTTTTGTGCGTGACAATTAGGAGTGATGAGCAAATATGACAAAGAATGAATGATTTTCACAAGGAAAGATGAATAAAATCAAGAATCAAAAAGGAGAATTAAGAATAAAAAAAAATTCAAGAAATTAAAGATGACAGTTTCAATTAAAGATATGGGTAATTTAGAATTGAATCTACTTCTTAGAAAATGGTGATTCCCTAGAGGGTTCTAGCCTAAAGGTGAATCAAAGAAAATAAAAATGAATAAAAAGAAAAACTAAACCCGAGAGGGTTCTAGCCTCAAGGTGAATAGTATAAGAAAATAAAATCTAAACTACAAAATAAATTGCAAAAACTAAGCTACAAAATAAATTGTAAGAATTAAATGCGAGAAAACAAAGACATGAAATAAATCTAATCTATAAGTATGAAATAAATCTAAGGCAAGAGGGTTCTAGCCTCTTGGCTATTTAAACAATAAAATCTAACTACAAGCATGGAAATAAATCTAAACTTATAAGCAATAAAAGAGAAAATAAGAAAAACAAACCTTCAAATTAATCTCCATCTTCATCTTCATCTTCATCATCCAACAAAGAGAATAAAAGAAAAATTTAAAGTGGTGAAAAAAAATTCTTTATTAATTGTAACAAAAAGTTACAAGTTTGGAAGGTCTTCTCAATTAAGAGTAACCCTCCTCTCTAAATGAAGATACAAAATTTTTCACACCCCTAACCCCTCACTCTCTACCCCTATTTATAGTAAACATCAATGAATGAGAGTCATTGGATTGAATCCTTATCCAAAACCATAAAAAATCAGCCATTGATCTCTCACTGATTCGTAGCCATCGATACCAGCATCGATGCTGGCATCGATGCCGGTATCGATGCCAGCATCGATGCTGGCATCAATGTCCAATCAAAAATCTGTCTCCATAGATGGCTTCGTCTCGTCGAGATATGCGATTTTCATATATTATATGTTAAATTCCGCTTTCCGGATTAAGAGATATCGTCGTTTCTTTACGGTTTACCATCTTGAATATATTTTGTTTTCATATTTGATTTTTTTTATTTTCTCTGGCTTCTACAAGCTACTCGGCTTGATTCTGGGCTTGGGATTTTTTGCTCTTGCTTGTGTTCTTCATTTAATTCATGAGCTTTTGTTGAGAGATGAGATTTTTGGGCTTTATTCTTCATTAACCTGTAATTAAAGATAAAAACAATTATTAGTGGTATATTTATTCATATAAAATAGATAACGAGGGTATAAAATTGTAATAAAAATATGATTATCAACGGTCTTGAAGGAGTTAGGAGGAGAAATAAGTGTAGTAGATGCGATCAACCGGGCCATAACAAAAATAATTGTCCAGCTAGGATTAGACGTTGATGTTGTAATTTGTAGCGGTTTCGATCTGTGTTTGTTTTCGTATGTCATTTGTGATTGTAATTTGTAGCGTTTCGTACTATGTTATATAAATTTAATGTTTGGTTTCAAGTTATTGCTTTCTTCACGTTGTGCATTCATTTGTTGTTTATTTATAACCAAGTCAGTATTTCAACAGAAAGATCTAACACATTGTACATTGTCTTCTAATGTTATTCTCAGTTATATTCGTTATGGATCCAGGACCGATACGCCCCAACGTTTTGACCCTCCAGGCGAGCCACTTTTCAGACCATATTGGCTAAGGACAGGTAAAAGATCTTTTGTATATATTCCTTAGCATTGGCAGTAATTTTAATTTTTTTGCATTATACTTAATCAATTCTTTTTGATGTGCAGCCCGTACCAGACATCACCATGATCGAGCATTCCCAGAGTCATTCGGTTTGGGTCATTGAGGATGCGAAAGTTCTAGAGCTGATCGCTCAGGCCGGTTTCTAGGAGTGTTCGACGGTTCGATATATTAGGTTTGATTGACCGCTTATCACTGTACTGATTGAGAGGTGGAGGCCAGAGACCAACATCTTTCACATGCATATAGGGGAGTGCACCATCACCTTACAGGACGTGACCGTCATACTTGGGCTCCGGATTGATGGGCCGGCAGTTACGGGCACCGATGATCATAGTTAGCCGAAGGTATGTGCTAGGTTCCTTGGCCAGGTTCCCGACTTGAGGAGTGGTGCGATGAAGCTATCGTGGCTTCGTCAGACATTTCAGGGCGGCATACCAGAGGATGCCAGTATGGAGACGCTTTAGTTTCATGCTCGTGCATACATATTACACATGATAGGGTGCATGCTTTTTCCTGATGAGAGCAAGACTCTTGTACATGCACGATGGCAGCCGTTACTGGAGGATTTTGACGTATGCGGTGCACTATCGTGGGGCAGTGCAGTGTTGGCATACTTGTATCGAGAACTGGGTAGAGTATCCCTGATACAGAATAAAGAATTCAAGGGATGCAGCACATTAATACAGATTTGGTCATGGGAGCACATTCATATTGGACGCCCTACTTTACTTGTGCACCGTGACCTACAGGGGCAGTTTCCTTTGGCGTACAGGTATAATTGTATGCACAGATTTTATTCGTTCTGAATTTGTACTTATATATTCTCTATTCTGCATATAGGTATAACGTGCGGTACGCTAAGTACCGATCAGCGATGCGCCATCGTGAGTTTTACCGAAATGAGCTTGGTGGTCTCCAACACGAACAGGTAAATATAAATCTCAAGTCGTTATGAATATTATAGTTTTTTGTTGATACTGATAAATGTTTTATTTTATTTCAGTTCAAGTGGAGACCCTATACACCACCGGAGCTCGATATGCATTCTCTTGCACCCATCTGCCGAGATACTCCTGACTTGTGGAGAGCCAGAGTTACATTGATTTGTTGGGAGACCGTGGAGATGCATGTCGAGATCGTGGAGATGCATGTCCCTTATCGTGTGCTACGACAGTTTACGCTCTCTCAGCATGTGTCAGATCTTGTCGAGCAGATTGATCGTCGGCGGCGACCTACTTCGCACCATACTGACTGGGCCGTAGTCCGTACAGCCTACATAGACAGATGAGCTCACAGGTGGGATTTCATCCAGGATACGAGGCCTACAGCTGTTGACTATACCGCGTATATGCATTGGTATTGGGGTATCACACGTAGATGGATCACGTGTGACCCACAGCCATCAGCTGGACACATGCCATGCCCATCGACAGACAGTTACATCCCTAGTGGGATGAACGAGAGAGATTACGTAAGTTTCTAAGCTAAATTATAATATTTTTTATTGAGTTGGTACTTAATAAATTGTTTACCTCACAGGTCCGTACTTTTGATAGCATTGAGGCTGATATTGATGCGCACGTGCCTGAGATTTAGGATCAGGTGGCGTTAGGACTCCTCAGCAGGATCAAGAAGACCATAGCGCAGGTATTTCATAAGACTCATATGTCAACAAGTTCGCAGGTCGTGAGGACAGGTCTCGATCATTTGGGCAGGCATACACTCGGCGCTGACGACGGCACAGTGATGATGATGCCGGCACTTGTTCGCAATCCGCATGGAGGGCCGACACTTTGCATGGCTGATGGAGCCGGTACTTCTCAGCCTCACACACAGCCGGATACTCAGATAGTCGAGGCTCATCAGCGCGGGGGGCGGGGAAGAGCGAGGGGGAGGGGGAAGAGAGGGAGAGGAAGGAGAGGAGCTATATTAGGTTGTATTTGAACTTATTTTGTTAAAATTTGTGACTTGTATGAATTTTCAGATACTATAGTTTTGTGGATCAATTATAGCTCGATATGTACTCTTTTTGAGTATTGTTTGATTCGTGCGTGTTTAAATCATATATATATTGTAGTAATTGTTGTTAACAGGTAAATAGTTGTATATATTAGTTAAATAGGTAGATGTATACAAAACATGCACAGCACAACAACCTGTGCATGTTGTGTAAAACCTGCAGCTTCACGGGAGTTCAACTCCCGTGAAGTTGCAGTCTACATTTCCCAGAGAGCGATTCTCTGCGAGATTTGGCCTGTAACCCCACGGGAGTTGAACTCCCGTGGAGTTTTAATCCTCTAATAGACTTCACAGGAGTTGAATTCCCGTGAAGTCTGTTGTTTAAGTAAATCTTCACGGGATTTGAACTCCCGTGAAGATTTTTGAAGAAATTAAACTTCACGGGAGTTGAACTCCCGTGAAGTTTAAAAATATGCCAAACTTCACGGGAGTTGAACTCCCGTGAAGTTTCGTAAAAAAAAATTTCACAAACCGACCTGGTTTCAGCGACAGGGCTGAAACGAGGTCGGTTTTTCTAATTAACTAAGAAACCGGTCGTTTTTTGCAAATAAAAGTCCAAATAGGACTGTTTCGAAAATTTGTCCACATATGAATATAGTTCGATAACAAAAATTCATAATGCATAACCATAAAAAAGACACAAAGAATGAAACCTATATGTATACAAAATAGATACTGGGAGTATGCATCTTATAAGAACCGTCCACATCTGAGCGAACAGTTCTGTCCTCTTTTTGTAAATTTAGACCCTTTTTTTTACTCACAACCACCCGACGCATGCTGATGATTCTGATACGAAGCGTTAGCATAACAAGGGAAAAGATAAGACAAAATAATGTATATAAATCATCTGATGCAGTAGTTGCTTAAATAAAACAAAGTTTCTGCAGTAGTTGCTTAAATAAAACAAAGTTTCTCAAGCCAATGCTCATTACATGTTAGATGATGCATCCTAAAATCTATAAGGTAAATTATTCGGATCTCTAAATTTTGGTCTCAAATTTTTTTTCTTAAATCAAAATATTTTTAACATACTTGAATATTGAGATGCAATCATAAAAAAAACACGTACCATATTTATGTTCTATTTTCATATCAGTTTCTCATTAAAAAACCATGTATTGCGCAAGTATTCATAACTAGGGGTGAGCACGGTTCGGTTCAAACCGAAAAAACCGACCGAACCGATCCGAACCGACCCCGAAAAAAGCGGTTTTATGAGTAAGGCGGTTCGGGTCGGGTTGACAATTTTTCAAACAGACCCGAACCGAACCAACCGAATATATTTGTGCCTTTGATTTGTGGGTTTATTGATGTGTTCGATCACCATGAATAGCAGTTGCAGGGAATTGATTCATACATAACCAATGTTCTACTGAGTCGGCTCCTTTTTTCGTCTCCACAAAGACCAAAGTCAAAGATTGCTACACAAAGACAAAGCAAGTCCGTTACTAAAAAATTACAACGTCAGAGTCTAGTATTTAATCCAAAAGGACAAGTTACTTCACTTAAAAACAGTATACATACATGAGCAAGAATAATAAATTAAAATGAAGTTAAAAACAAATACATGCTGGCATAGGGTAATAATAATATATAAAAGATAAATTGAAGTGAAGTTATACTTAATGAAGTTAGAACCGAACAACCGAACCGAACCGCACCGAACCGATTTGTAATGGTTCGGTTCGGTTTTGAATTGTAGATGGTTCGATTCGGTTGTTCAAATTTTGGTAAAAACCGACCCGAACCGAACCGTGCTCACCCGAATCATAACCGTATTTGTATCGCACTTCGTAGGTGCTTCTCCATACGGGAGCATCCCCAGGTGATCAGCGGGCACACGTTGGGCCCAGCCCAAGTTAGCCCATCCAAACACTACCCAACCACCACCAGCGTCCCGCTCCGTCACCGAGTGTCCTCGCTGCGGCCAAGATCGTAGGAGCGCACTCGCAGGTCCCCGACCAAACCTCCACCACCCCCTTTCCCTCTGGGCCCACCTCAACCCCCTCCCCCTCGTCGTCCCGACCTCATTCGCCGGAAAACCCTCGACCGCCCCCCAAGACCACGACGGCGGCGAAGACGAGGACGCCCTACAACCCACAGGCTTCGTCACGCTCTCCCTTCTCCACTGGAGCCACCCCCTCCTGGCGCGCTCGCCTCTCTTCGGCGGCACCTCGCCGAGCTCGAGCGGGCGCTGCTCGATCATCGCCGTGACGAGCTCGAGCTCCTCGGCTCTTGACCCGGCGGGGCCCTTGGTGTCGGTGGACCACTTGAGGGCTTACTTGCAGATCATCGACGTGGCCTCAATTTTAGGGCTGGATCAGGATATCCCCGATCACGCGTTTCAGCTGTTCAAGGATTGCTCGTCGGTGACCTGCTTGAGGAACCGGAGCGTGGAGGCGCTGGCCACGGCGGCGCTCGTGCAGGCGATACGGGAGGCGCAGGAGCCCAGGACGGCGGCTTAGGGTTTTTAGGGGTCTGGAAAGGGTTTCTTGATTATACAGGGATTTGATTTACAAGTTTTATCGTCACAATACGCAAATTGCAAGCCAATTCCACTGAACACCTTTTTAATACACTGCTGTTTTATTCTTAGTACAATTTGATATATCCACTTATTTTCCGCTACACATCTAAATCTGACTTGTATAAAACTATGACGCGTTCAGATGTGTCTAGCTATTGAATGTAAAGTTGAAGAGATAAAAATCCTGCTCCTCCTTTTGCAGAGTCATAAGAATATACGGTAGGTTAATGACTGGTATAAAACGGTTGTTTAGGTATGTGAAACATGTTATGTATGCATGCATATGTTCCTATGTCCTGCTTTGTAGGAACTGCCATGTTCCATCTCCGTATTTGCGCCATCATGCTCTATGTCCGTGTCCATGTTGCTTAGGTATGTACTATCCAATATCGGTAGCTAGAAATACTTCTTGAAATCCATTTTCTTTGCAATCTGCCTTCAGTATCTAAAGTTAATATCAGTTCTAGTGAGCTCGTATGAAGGTTTTCACTTTCCGCGTTACCTCCCTAAGTTAAGGTTTCCTCCTTGAGCTCGTGATTGTTATGTTATCCTTTGACCTATTACCGAGCATTAAATTGTCAGCTGGGGAGCTAGCCTGCTTTTTTCTTGCTTAGGGAGGTCTTTCGCGTAGTGCTTCGAACACAAAATTTTAACAGACTTGCTCCGACCTAGAAGTTCCCGTGTGTGACATCTCTTATGCGTTTGATTCCCATTAGCTTGTAGAATTTCAGCATCTCAGATTATTAGAAGTTGATTATCATGTTCCCTAAAGTTTGATGTAACTGTTGGAAACAAAGTTTTCTGTGACCTCTGCCCTTGCGTATACTTTCAGTTGGTCCTGCAGAGTGACTCCAGAATGAAACTCATACCCGATAAAGACTTGCTGTTATAAAATTAATTAGGCTAAGGCTTTCTGTGGACTGTTTTCCCTCTATATATAAGATAAGACCAGTTTCCATCTTTACGTGGCTTTGCTATGTGCATTCTCATTTGCTCGGGTATGATTTACCATCAACCTTTGACAATGGTTAGTCAGAAAGTTCTAGCAAGTGCACAATAGGCACTCACTAGGGGATGAGAGAGAGAGAGAGAGAGAGAGAGAGATCACCACTTGCTATTTATTTCTCTCTCTCTCGTCCACTAACGAGTGCCCATGGGCGCTTGTCAGAAAAATCATATTCAGAATACCCATATTATACTGTTTCCAGCTACAGTATTAAATTTCCTTCTGTAGAGATAGCTTAACAGAATTTCATCCAATCTTCCAAAACCTTCCAAGAACTAACAGCTGTTTGCGTTAGTAGAATTAATCACTAATGGCTCCCACATAGGTAAGAAGCCTTGAGAAGCTTATACCCTTTCTTCAGTCCAAAGAGTGCAATTTTCGCATGTCATGCACCAAAGTTAGATATACCTGAAATAACAATAATCTTTTGTATTATGTTTAGGATAGTGGGTGCAATTTCAACATTCTCTTAATTTATTCTGTGCTTAATACTGCTGATTAACAGGAAATCTCAACTGCTAGCAACCTTCCCCAAAAGGAAATAGGCAAGTATATGAAAATACTCGGTGAAGCGTTGAAACTTGGTCAACCCATCAACAGCAACTCGATATCTGTTCACATGCCTAGGTTTTGTACTCTCCTCCAGCTCAACAAATCTGCCCAGGTATCTTCATTCATCAAAACTTTAACATAAAATATGATTAGATATACTAAGCTTTGCAATATCATTCTCAGGAGCTTGCAGCACATATTGGAGAAGTTGTAATCAATAAATGCTTCTGTACAAGAAGAAACCCCATCAGCATCTCCGCTGCTGCCATTTACCTGGCATGCCAACTCGAAGACAAACGAAAAACTCAAGCTGAAATCTGCAAGGTAACAGGTCTCACTGAGGTCACTCTTCGTAAAGTGTACAAAGAATTATTAGAAAACTGGGATGATCTACTTCCACCTAACTACACTCCAGCAGTGCCCCCTGAGAAAGCTTTTCCTATGACTTCAATAACTTCTGGCCGATCATCAACTCCTAAAGTTGAAGTTCCTGAAGATAAGCCTCCAGAGTTAAAAAAATCTGAGGTTAGAGAAGAAAATGACCGTTCTTTGGCATCGTTGTATACTCGTGATTTGAATAAGGCAGCATTTTGGCAGAAAGATGAGGCTAAGCATGTACATTCTGAGTTTGATCAGAAGGTCAATACAGACTCCATAATTGATAGTAGTACAAGATGGATGAGGCAAACGAGTACTTCATCATCTCAGGGATACAATTCTTGGCAATTTAATGTACCTGGATCTTCCAATGCTCGGTCTGGAAAGCCTCAAAATGGTTAGGAAACATGACTGGAAGTGGAAGTGCTGATGGTGGATGCTGTGAAGTCTGGAAAGCCTCAAAATGGTTAGGAAACATGACTGGAAGTGGAAGTGCTGATGGTGGATGCTGTGAAAGTTAGGAAATAATAGTACGCTGCAATTTGTAGTCACTGTTCTTCGAGTGTTATATGTTAGTATATTTGCAATTTGGAATTACTATGGCAAGCACATAATTTATACTGTTTCTTGTGAGGAGTATATTGTGTCTTGTGTCGCTTCACTGTATTGAAGGATGGCTAATTACTTAGATTGCTTGTTGTTATGTTTAAAAGATGGATTTCTATTTAATTAAAGCTATAAAAATGTTAGGACCGGTTGATTTGAAAAGACAAGAGAGAGAATTAGATCCTTATTGAGCATTTGTTATTTTGCAACTTCCTGTGGCATTTATAAAATTTATAACCGCAGGAACAAAAAAGACCTGTTTCTCTCAAGTGACTAAAGCAAAACCTGGATTTTGCAAAATTTGTCGCACGCATCGGGTTATAATACATCACTGAGATTATGTCGCAACACTTGAATATTGACAATTGATTTTAGATTGTAATATTCGGGTAATGAATGAAACAGTAGGTATCAGCCTCTCTTGTATATAAGTCCTGTAACTGCAGTAACATGAGAGACACCGGAAGAGACATGGGTAACTCGTCAAGAACAGAAAAATAGCAAGTCAACTATCATAAGAAGCTCATTCGTTTTTCTACATTGAAGATGGAATGCAATTGATCAATTGATCATATCCATAACTAAGTTACACGATGCTTCTAATAATATGCTCTTCAGCTCAAGAAGATATAACTGGAGGGATGAAGAAAATATTTCAGATTTCCAAAAATCTGCACACTTCTTCCGATGTATTATAAGTCCTATAAGAACGAAAACTTTAGACGTTCGCCACAAAGTCCTTTCAGATATTCTGACCAGCTCCGTCTCATGTCCCTAACAAAACAAAACTCAGCAATGCTTAGCAAAGATAGTAAACCAAAAGCTCGCGTAGTTGGTGACATTCTCTCTCTGTAGCCAGCCAATCATATTACTAGCAGAAGTATCTATGGCTATAATTATTAGCGACATACCATAGTTTTGGTGCTTGTTTGTAAAGTCGTAAATGGCTTTTATAATGGCTCCACGCTTCATTGATTTCAAATGGCCCATATGTCTGCAGATCAGAAGGAACAATCATCTCATTAGCTCATGGTAACTCTTTTTATGTCTGAAGAAGAAACAGAAATATATTTTGAGTCATCAAAATTCATAATCGTTGTTACCATCTGCATTAGACTAGCAACAAGAAGAGAGCCATTCTTTTTCTCGCAAACTTGAAGTTTCATGAAACTCTATAATCATTTACAACAGGGAAAAAGGCTTTACCCAAATGGTTGCATCAGTCTTATACTTCAGTGCAGTTTATTAAGAGTTATCTCTTCCATTAAGTTATATCCTTCTTAATTTCTTCCGACCAAATTATCTTACACCTAATTCTATTCCTTTCTCCATTAATTATGATCTCATTGCTTCCAACTGGTGGAATTCACCTTTATCATGATTCAACCTACAATAACCAGGATCTCCAATTTATTAGTTCCAAATGCATAAGTGGAAAGATAAATGTAAATGTCTCAAGTAGGAAAGTAAAGAAGACATGAACTTCACTGTACTTAACTCATTTTATATTTATATTTTCTAAACTAGACCAAGCAGTGACTAGCGAAATAGTCCTGTCACTAAAACAGAATGGTGATCCAATTTTGACTGAATAAAATTGACTCTAAAACACATGCATATCATCTGGGGAAGAAGCAGAGTCAGATTCATCTAAGGGTTCTGGTCATTTGCAATATCACATTTTTATGAAACCAAAAATTTGTTCCCTCATTAAGAAAATGCATCATGCTGAGATGGACGGAAAAAAAAACATAAGTCATCAAATAATGATGCACCATTCAAAGTACCCAGTGTCACATAACATATATTATTGAAGAAACCTTAAGAGTCTCAATTGAGTAAGGGCAAGGGCACATGCACACTTACTCGAATGAAAAATTGATAATCATGCAGAGTGCAGAAGCAAAAGTGCCTGATAATTCAATTATTGACATGTCTATGTAGGTTCTACTGCTCTTCCTCCAAGATACTTTCCCTTGGTATGTCGATTCGTCGAACTGTAGGGTTTTCTTTAGATGATTATTTCACTTTTATTTGTTGCAAGTTACAATTATAAACGCTACTATCTCCATCTTATTTTCTCAGCATGAACCAAAGTTCTTCAAGAACCACAAATGAGAGTGGATATCATAATGGTCGCACATGTGTTTCTAGAAGTGTTACTTTAAAGGTAACATGCTTGTTGCATTCATCGTAACTAGAGAGGTTATGCCCAGTCCAAATAAAAATCTTTTTTGATCCATTGATTATACAGTTCTAGAAAAATGTATCAGGTCTCTGAATTTATACGATGAATGATGCTGGAGCCTAATAATGTTTTAGCAATAAACCAAAACCAAGCCCTAAGGAAGAAGAAAGAGAGGCCATAATAACAAGTTGTGCTAACGTCACATTTCCATCCACAAGAACCTTTCTTTATGATAAGGATTTTTCTAATATCCGTCTCCCAGATATCAATATTTAGAAATAGCTTCTGTAATTATTTGAAGAAAACTTACACAATCTCTGTGTAACGCATTCTCCATGCAGGAAATCCTAAATGGCATCTAGCAGGTCCATAAACAAGAAGTAGGTCAGGCTCCGGTCCATCAAAGCCTAAGATAAGGACATAAAGGAGAATAGAACCAATATCAATGACAAGAGAGAAAAATATGAGAGAAAAACATGTAAACCAATATCTAGTATATATCTTTCATAGACAAGAAGAATCACACACCGACTGACTTCAAAGCAGCAGATATGTCAGCTTCTGTGAATGTTGGCTCTGTCTTATTGCAGCCTTCTGTATCACCTTTCAAATAATTGGAAAGTAGGAAGTTAGCAGCTTTAGCAGCTCCTTGTTTACAATCAGAGGAAGAAAGCAACTCTATTGTTGTTTTTTCAAAACGAACACGTGTGATCGCATTCTTCAAAGAAGTATCCTGTATTTGCAATGAATTATATGAGAATCGCATATAAAAGCACTTTATACTGCATATAGCAGCACTTTATACTGCTTGTTACCAAGTAAAATTCAAGAGATGGGTCATAACTCACAGTGCATGGTTTAGCATTACAGCTGGAATTAGCCAAGCTTGAATTAGCCAAGCTAATCAGATAAGTCTCCAGATATTGTTTCAGCACTCCTATATTATAAAAATAAAAAATTACAGAAGTAAACTTGAAGTGTTATTGCTTTTATTCTTTGGTCAAATTTGTATAAAAGAGATGTGCAAGTTAGCTTACCTTCCATGTCATACAACATTATATACTTTACACCGATATCTAATAACCAATGCAAAAGCTGTTTGATTTGTGTAGCATTTTCAGCTTCTGCGCTATCTATCACAACTGCCAAGTACTGAAGTTTATGTAATGGGAGCATTCGATACTTTTGCAGAAACCCTGTTGAAATTATATACCATTTCATAACTTGGATCAGATAAGACCCAGTATGCATGATGCTGACCAATAGATGGAGTAGATACCAGCTTAATCTCAGAATATATATGAAGATCCTGGATATGTGGAGTCTCTGCACAATTTAAGTACCAAAAGAAAAAATCACCATTATAAGTGGTTTGACAATGAACTCGACATGCTGAATTTAACTAGGGAAACAACCATGTAAATACGAAGAAAGGAGGGGAAAATAAGTTCAATTACAGTCCTTAAGACTAATCTCATCACCGACCTAGAGGCAAGGCTCTTTCAAACCACTTATAATCATGAATGGCCATGTACGGAACTGAGGTTCAAGTGAGAATCTGATCTTGTGCATTCTTTTAGAATGCATACGCAATGCAGCTTTGATAGCTTTCCACTGTTGTTAGAGAATAAGAGTCAAACTGTGCTCCAGTGTCAAAGCTAAGATATGGCTAGATATGCAACAGCATGATTTAAGCTTTACATGTGAAAGGAAAACAATAGAATGTGATATAAAGCAAACTAGACCAAGTTTTGGTACTTCTTTGAATTTGGCATCAACCATGTTTAAATTCTTGGGCTATTGAGCGCCGTATCTCTGCTAGAAACAAGCAAAAACAAGGAAAGGAAAGAAATCCATTTGCTTCTCTTGTTCTCATCATTTACCATATCCAATGCGTACTTCTTCTATTTGTAGTAAAATCATCAGTGTTAGTGATCTCTGACTTTAATGTCACTTCTAATTGAGGTAAGATAACTTTGTGTTGGTACATATTTGTTATTATTATTCTGTTATGATGTTTGACTATAAATAGTATTAGGCTAACTACATAAAAGTAACTGTTGTTATGTCATTTGGAGTAAAGAGGATCCAAGTTAATGAAAAACCACTTATTTACCTTTGCTCGTGTGAGCAGGAGGTTGGCTGGTGTGGCTTTTATTTTTATTTTATTTTTTTTGGGAAAATTGTTTGGCTTCAATCTATTAGCTCACTACTTATCAGCTTAAGTTTTTGCATGAAATGGTTATTAAAGAATTCATAATAATGGAACAGCCTTCGAGTTATTATTCCTACTGGCAAGCCCATCAGGTCAAATCTATATTAATTTAAGCAGTCGTGACTGTAAAGCCACTATATAAATGATATTAAATGTCAGTTTGAAACCACAATACCACAATGAGCCGATTAAGGTCCTACATGATATTTTTCTAAAAAACATAGCATGATAAGCATTGGCTCCATGAGAATTTAGCAGTAGCTTCAAATAAGAAAAAAAAAATGAAGGTCACTCGACTGGATATATATTATCAAGAGCAAGGAGAGCAACATGATGACAGTTATTGGAGCAAAAGGGATAAAGTATTGACATAAAGAACATGGACTGTTATCGATAAATCAACTCTCTAATAGCTCTATTTCTCTGTTTTCAACAGGACCAACAAACAAAAAAAATCTAAGCAATCTATTAATTTACGAAAGATGATGATCCTTACAGCACTTAATGCAGGTAAACAACTTGTGTAACCAAGTGTTTGAGACAATGGTTTCTTTTTTTTTAATTTCTAAGTCAAATATTTATCTATTTCTTTAGTTGAAGTAGAACTGTTGAAACCAGACAAGTTGGGGCCAATTTCATACACAACATCAGTTTAACACAATCACACCCAAATATGAGAACTTGATCAAATTCCTCAGCTGGGTTTTCATTCAATTAGCATAAGACCACCTAAGAACCCAATTAATCACAAAAGTTCAAGAAATAGCTTACTCTGAGATGGGTCATCATTCTCTCCATCTCCTTATTGAAAATCATATATCTGCAAAAAAAAAAAAAATCTAAACAAATAGGCACAGTAGAGTAATGGACACCGATCGGAAAAGGAAGGGAGAAAAAAAATCTAACATTGATCGTAACAAAAGGGCGTCCATGATAAGCGTAATGTGTAGAAATCAAATAAGAGTATGAGGAAATAAAGAAACGGTAATAAAGTTAGTAGAACTCACTTTTAAGAGAGAAAGTTTAGAGATTTACAAAGGAGAAAGCACAATAAGCGTGAAGAGAAGACGCATGCAATTCATCACTCTCCTCAAAATTCTCGAATTCAGTTTAATACTTATTTTGAGGATGGCTTTATCCAGTTCAATCATGTGGGAGACGCAACGGAGACTTGGAAGCAGCGGTGCATTCAGTTTGGATATGACACTTATCACATCCATATCCGCTTTCCAAAAACGGATACAGATATTCGACGGTAAGAAAAAAATCATGACCATATCCGCAATAAATGGAAACGTATACGATTCGGATATTAGAGAATCGGATATGGATACGACACGGATATTAATCGGATATTTGAAAAACAGATATGAATGGGATATGAATTGGATATGACAAAAATTACATATGATTACAATATTTTACAATAAAATATAACTTAGAATTGCAATACACACGTACATGAAACAAAAATAGAGCAAAACGCCCTATTCAATCTGTACATATATCTATGGAACTTACATAAGAAAAATAGTTGGGCGAACAAAAATGGTAACATATGTATTGGTAGCCGAGGAATGCTCATTCCATATATTCACTGATCACAGAAACACTTAAACTCAAGCAAAAACAAGGTGCTTTAGGCATTTAATTAACTGAACAGGCCCAAGAGCACTACCCATCCTAATTCAGTCGTAGCTCATCCACTTCTCCATATAGTACAGAAAACTTGCAAACTTACAACACATTTTTCTACAATTTTTTTCATTAAATAAAGTTTCGATTACAAATTTAATGACAAAAGTGACCTACCACTGCTCACATTATTACACCCAAATATGGACAAATTTGGTGTAGTTGCTTATTTGATGATCTTTTCATGCTAATTTGGTGAATCTGCTGGATATGTTACAATCACATTTGTAATATGGACAAATTTTTAAAAACACCCATTTTCAAAATTAAATAGTAAAATCGACCTTTTCACAATAAAAATAGCATATTTTCATCTCAACTCAGTTGAAATGGGTCGATTTTGCTGTAGGATTTGTTTCTGACTACACGAGACTACTAGTCCCTTATAGTTAAAGCATGCTAATCCAATATTAGCATGTAGAACCAAAAACTAGTAGTCCCGTCCATTTCGTGTAAAGAGCCTAAAATCTCTGCTTAAAACTTGGGCAAAAATCGAAATGCACGGGACTACTAGTCCCGTGCATTTCCTGTGCACTAATCCATGCACGTTTTTGTGCATTTCCTGTCCATTTCCTGTAGAAACTTAAAAAGCAATTCATATAACACCATAAACTCATTTACAAATCTAAAAACCCTTTGAAATATCTGACCTACATTTAGATCAAGTTCAGCCCTCACTTCAGGCATAATTAGCTTACATATATAAGAGCAAGATGCAGAATAATGATCGACATCCACCGACGGATTGCAACATGTATGAATTCCGTAATATCTAAATATTACAAATTACCCATTTGATGATTTTCTCACAGCTGCATTTAGCAAAAGACATTTCATGTTTCTCTCATCTTGCTCACTTGCATGTTCTACATCAATCTTCTCGTTAAAATAATATTTTACATGGTAGTTTGTTGCATTAGTTTTCACCGGCTTGAATTTGACCCAATTCTTGATAGATCATTCTCGGATTGCAAAGATCAATGCTTCCTTGCTCTCGAATAGATCCCCTTTTTTAAAAGTGAAGTCCTCAGGTCGTTAAAAATTTGGACCAACATCAACAAATTCAGCTTGAGAAGTATTTATCCAATTCTCATTATGAAACTCGTCGAGCAACGAATTTTCAGCTTCCACATAATCATTGTTAACATTAAATTAGTCCATCCAACGGGAGTCATCATCGATTCCAGTTGCTATCAATTTGCATGCCATCTTCTTCAATACATTCTAAGTCATCATTTGCTTCTTCTTCGATAATTGATCCGATCGGTAGCTCACCTGTAACATGGTCTGAAGCGTCGTTAAATATAGTATTTGACGTCCCACCAAGAGAAGGCTCACTTAAATGTTGTAGTTGAGACCACGGCTATTGACTTGGAGATGTCATAAAACCACTCGATTCATTGTCTAAGTTAAGCATCCGAGAAAACTCTCCCTGAAGTTGTGAAACTTGGGCAAATTCGTGAATCGGATACTTCTCAATGAACAACTCAATTGACACTTGCTTCTCGACAAATTGTTTCATGTCATTCAATTCCTCATCATCGTCGGTAATCTCCACGGCAATAGTTCTACTCTGATTTATCGGACAGTTAAAGAACACCTTAATTGCATGCTCTGCTTTATTAATTTTAGTAACTCTGTGTATTTCGTTCATCATCCCATCAAAATTACATGACTTAGACAGCATAAATATTTTTCTAGAACCTCCCTCATACATAGGCATATTATTCACTCCGACGCCGAGGCTCCCATTGAAGAAGCAAATAATGGGTATAGAGCTTGCCATCGAAACTGAAAAACAACAGTTCATCATATGTAAATAATCTATTATAACTAAAAATATTAATCTCAATTGAAAATCAAATTTAAAACCCTAATCTCAAGTGACAAGCAAATAATAGCTAAACCCTAACCCCCAAATCACATTATTCATCATATTTCACAAAATAAAAACTAAAAATTTTCATATCCAAAATCATAAACCCTAATCAATCCATATCATTCATCAAAATTCTCACAAAAAATTACAATTCAAACCACAATTTTCATATCCCAAATTTCACATCCAAAATCATAAACCCTAGTCAATCCATATCATTCATATCAAAAATTAAACTAGAGGATAGTGATTTTTAGACCCTAATCCTACTCAATCCATATCATTAGTGTCTGTTAATCAAAATTAAACCCTATTCCTACTCAATTCATATCATTCATCAAAATTAACAACAAAATTGAAAAAAAAAATTAACCTTGATCGGAGCTTGGTGGATGTGTTCGGCGGCGGCTGTGGTCACGAGCTTGGTCGGAGGAGGAGGCGGCGG